TTATTTTAAAATATAGATAAAATAATATATATGAAGAAATTTTTTTAACAATTAATTTATCGATAATAATAACTTTCTAAAATTCGACGAAAAATTCCCGCTCAAATATTCGAAATTTCGGTAATTGAAACGTAATAGTGATCAATTTTCGTATTTCTAATGGACCAAATCCTTTGTTAATTGATCGGCATAAAAATGGATCGGGAAAGAGGTCACGGTTCAAATTATCTATAACGAATTATTAAGATTCGAATCGTATTCGAACCCGGATCCATTGATGGTCCGATCGCCGAACGGTTGAAAGCTGACGGCGTTTTTAAAGAAAAAATGGAAGAAGGTTAGTTTTTCTATCGGAAATATGTTATTTTTTAAAATTATTTCGAATATTATTCAAGAGACAGCAACGTTTGGATCAAATTGAGCAGAGTTATGGTAGCGGTAACAGCTACGTAATGGGAGTATCGCCTGGTAAAGCTAGATGAACAAGCCAATGACATAGCCCGTTTCAAATGAAACTGGCTAAGTCGATGGCCTGCTTATCCAGTGGTATTAAAGTGGTATGAGTGATTAGCGCTACAATAGTTTCTGTTCGTTTTCGCAAACTTAAAAACTTTAAAATAAATTAAATTTATTCTTTCAAATACTGTATCTGTTGTTACTTGCTGATAGCTGTGTGTGGGCGGATTAATACTATAATGCACGCCTTCATATTCGTAAATAATATATGACTTCACGTGTTGCGTGGGCGCAGCCATTTTTGATCTGTTATTACTACTCGAGATAGCGTAAACCAAGTCCACTACTAAACGTGACGTCATAGACTCAACACGTTACTAAATAGCAATTTTCTAGAGGGCGTTCGGCAGAAAAAAAATTAAATTTGAAAATAAATTTACCAGGATTATTTTAACAATTGAATTTAAAAGAAACTCGCCGTTTTGTACTAAAATAATAATAATAAAAAAATTGTATGAAGCGCCATCTCGTATTGGATAAAGACGTAAAAATTTAATTTTGATGATAATTTTTCAAATTTTTATATAATTTTTATTCTAGTCTCGCGAATATAATTAAAATAATTCGATTCAAAATAAATTTTATTTTCAAAATTAATAATATACATATGCCTCGGCCTTCTATGTATTTGGTTTTAAAAAAATGACAAAGCCAATTAATTAACCGAATTTTATTATTTTAATTTTTATTATTAAATAGAAAATATTTGAATATTAAATATATGCAAATCACATTCAGTTATTCTTAAGATTGTGAAGATTATTCGAATTTTAATCAACTTTTACGCAAATACAGTATGACACACTTTTTCGATCTTCTTCACAATGAAGAAGGTCTTTCCTCATTTCTTGCAATTTTACAAATTTTAAGAGTACATGTAATAAAATATTACGCTGTAGATTGCAAAATTTATATTTATCATTCAAACCATTGCTTCATTATATCATCAGACCCACCAGTGACCAAGCGGTCTTCGTACCCTAAACACAGGGCTGTGGGTTCACGCCTCGCTCGGGCGGCTGACCATATAGAATTTTTCGAGTTTTTTCCACGTTTGTAACGCCTAAATAGGACCAGTTTCCCTTAAAATACCTCCCGGAAGGCATCACTTTAGGCAGATCGCCCAATTGTTGCGTTGCCATAACTTTAACAAACAAACATTACACCATCAGATGGGTTCTTGTGAAGCCCACCATCAGATGTGGATAAAACCACCAAACACTGATCGCGTGTTTGCGTCTCACAAACGGGCTGATGACGTGAAGTTTTCCTGATTTTCTTGACAGGTGTAACACATAAATAGGAGCCATTTTCCTATAAAAGTTCTTCCGGGAGGCAGCTCGCCCACGTGTCGCGTTGCCGCAACCAAATAAACCATGGGTTCTTACGTGGTCTTCTTTCCAAATTTTACTATTATTGGCCCGAACAATATTATAATTTTTAGGATATAAACTGTATATATGACAAATATAATCGATAATATAATTGTTAAATAGTTTAACGAATTAACAGTCATAACATATTTCTCGAACATTGTTGCTGCAGCAGTAAACAACAATTAAATAATGTACAGTTTTAAAGCTACATTTGTAAGAATACATACATTTAAATTAAAATTTAAAAAAAAAGAACATTTTAAGCACGTTAAAATGTCACATTTTTATCACTTTGTTGACACTAATAAATTATTCTATTTTATCTGCCGCCATTTTTGTTCTGTGACGAGTAAGAAAATGCGATATATTTTGCCGAAGATGTGTTTACCTTTTTTCCTTTATTTTTTTCTGATGATATATAAATAGATTTCCTTAAGCTATTTTCTATTTTGGGAAGATTCTACTTACTATTTTTACTTTATTAAATATTTTCCTTGCAATCTATAATGTATAAGCTTAAAATGTTCATTAGATGACCGCTCCGATCTGTGTCAATATACTATGAAGTAAATAGCCATCATCTCTTTTGCTTCTTTACTTTAAAAGTATTAAATTATATTAATAAAATCTACATAAAACTTCGTGGTATGGTCCTAATTCCTTTAATTAATCTTAAAGAACTTCAATATGGATTCTGAAAACAAAATGGAGGATCGATTGACTTCTTATTAATCTGTATTGATTAACGTTAAATTTTAAATTTTAAAAAGTAATTATTTATAACCGTAAAAACTGAAATATTCTTCTTATACTCGACTTCGCTTCGGATATTTTAAATGTCTCGAACAGATTTACTAATTTGAATATTAATCAACGGTGACATTTTAACGAAAAATGACATTAATAGGTTTTAAATAACATTAAAAATATTTCATTTTTAATTGCAATTACAGGGTTGCATATAGTAAACACTTGATTTCTTGAATGGCCGGAGCGATTCAAAAAATCAATATGCCATCCCGCTATTCTGATGGCCCTGGGAATGAATTCGGGTGGAAAAACTCCTGGAATTCTTCGTGCCCATCCCTCACTACCAGGCATCTTCCCATTGTGACGGTCTGACATATGGGATGTAGTGAAGGCCTTTTTTCAGACCATCTGGCCGAACTCTTAATGGGTCT